CGTGGGGTCGGCTACATGAATCTTTTTTCTCCATTGTGTCCTATTAAAAGTCAAATTCTCGTTTAAATCTAATAAAGAAAGGTCATTCCTAATATTTTCTAGCCAAGTCTTTTTAGGTCTACCCCTACCTTTCCTAACATAAGTCAAATCTAATACCTCTACTCTCCTAACCGGATCATCAGAAGGCCGTCGTTTTATGTGACCAAACCATCTAAGGCGACTCTCTCTAATCTTATCTTCTACTGGAGCTACTCCAACCTTTTCACGTATATGCTCATTTCGTATCTTATCTCTAAGGATAAAGCCACTCATCAACCTGAGCATCCTCATCTCTGCCACACTTAACTTAGTATTATGCTTCTCTTTTAATGGCCAACATTCGGCACCATAAAGCATTGCAGGCTTCACTACCATCTTATAGAACTTTCCCTTAAGTTTGAGGGGTACATTTCTATCACATAACAAGCCCGATGCATTCCTCCACTTCAACCATCCAACTTGAATTCTGCTGATAATATCCCCGTCTATTTCACCATCACTCTGAACAATAGATCCAAGATATCTAAAACGTGTACTCTTATTAATGACTTGATTGCCCAAAGTCACAATCCCCTCACTAGGTCTATTACTACTAAAATAACATTCCATATATTCCGTTTTAGATCTACTCAAGCGAAAACCTTTAGACTCTAAGGTTGACCTCCATAATTCAAGTTTACCTTCAACTCCCTCTCTAGTCTTATCAACAAGAATTTTTAAAATTATACCAATTTTTATAACAAATCTTCTTATTTTTAATCTTTTCTTGCACAATTGGATTCCACCACCAACTATTTTTACTATTGGGAGCTTTTCCCTTTGATACTCCAAGGACATCTTTTGCAATATTCTTAATATCACTAGCCACTTTTTCCCACATAATATTAGCATCCTCATGCACAGACAAAATCTTAAGATCTAAAATCTTATTTCCAAAAATATTTTTGTTAATATTCTTTAAATGCCCCCATCTAATCCTAGAAAATCGTTTTTCTTTATTTTTTATTTTATGCCCCTTTATCTTAAAGTCCAAAACTAATAATCGATGTTGGGTACATAAATTTTCACTCGGAATAACTTTACAATCTTTGCAATCTAAACGATTTGATTTTCTAATAAGAAAATAGTCAATCTGGGTTGTATTATATCCATTTTTATAAGTGATGAGATGCTCATTCCTTTTCTTAAATAAGGTATTAGCAATTGAAAAATCATAAGCTAAACAAAAATCCAATATGGTCTTGCCACCTTCATTCGTCGTTCCAAATCCATGGCCACCATGAATGCTTTTAAAATCATCTACCTCTCTACCAACATGTCCATTTAAATCTCCTCCAATAAAAACTCTTTCTTCAAGAGGTATCTTTTGTATTAATTCTTCTAAGTCATTCCAAAAATTTAGTTTATAGCTCATATCCAAACCTACTTGAGGAGCATAAGCACTTATAATATTAACAATCTTATCATCAACAACAATCTTTAAAGCTATAATTCTATCTCCAATCCTATTAATTTTTATAACATTATCCTTTAAATTCTTATCTATAATAACACCTACACCATTTCTAGTACGACACCTACCCGAATACCAAAGTTTAAATCCTAAACTATCAATTTCCTTAGCCTTCTCTCCAACCCATTTAGTTTCCTGAATGCACAAAATATTTAACTTCCTATGAATCATAATATCTATTAATTTCATTAATTTTCCTGTAAGGGAACCTATATTCTAAGTTCTTATCCTAAATTTAGTTTCATGGACTAGCTTCTTTGCCCACATCCGTCCTTGATGTGGGAACCCTTGCCTAATTAACACTGCACCCGGGCGCCGGTGCAGCGGCCCTTGCACACTTGTCACTGTATTCAGGCCATACAGCGCGTCGCTTCCAGGGGACGCCCTAGCATTAACACAATTTCTTAAAAAATTCATGTCATTATTGTTCGACAAGTTTTACGCTGGCTGTCGACTACCTAACGCAACCCTCCACTTTTCTCATCCAGGACTTGGGACCTGGCAACGGCAGTGTTAAAGGATTCATTTAGGTAATTTAAGAAAATATATATGTATGTTATTATGAATTAGAGATTAAGTATGTGACAGAAGCATGTGACAATCAATGTTATATTTTTTTTTTAGATATTGGAGGTGGTAGAGGAAAGGCCTCGATAGGGCAAATGGCAAATATCACACAACGGCGAGGTAGGTAAAATGTGATTCTTTTCATTTCAGAAAATTCCTCTCTATCCAAATGTTAGCATGTTCTTTATAATATCATATGATTAGCCTAGCAAGCTTTTAAATGCAAATGTATCTTTCTTATATATCTTAGCATGTTCTTAAATATCATGTATCTTGCTCATATGGTAATTGTGGATAGTTTAAATACAATATTTCAATATTGCAATTGTGTCTTCCTCATGTGATAATTGTGGATAGTTTACAAAGCTCATGTCTCCTTTAATAAGTAATTATATAGAAAAAAATATAAGAGTATTAAAACATATGCATGAATGATATGTTAATATCCCTCTATGAATACATATAGAATGGTTGAATGTATATGTTGATGTAGAGTATCACATGGTAAAGGGGCTCTTTGAAGCCAATGGTAAAAAAGGGTCTTCGGAGCAAATAGTAAAGGAATGACCAATGAAAAGTGTACCTGATCAGTACAAAACAAAATGATACTTTCGTGACATGTGAATAAGAATATGTTATTAGGTTATAAGCATAAGAAGCATCAAATGAATTATGAAAATGTACAATATAAAAGGTTTCAAGCTTATGCAAAGAAAGAGAACATATAGGATGACTTAGAGACATGTGTACTCTAGTGAATATATCATGGCAAGTTTATTATTCTTTTAATTAGAAGTATTAGCATGCATGTTGTACTCTTTATCTTACTTCTAAGTTTAATTGAATAGCATTTTACCTATTGAGTTGTTACTCACCCAACATATGAAACATTTTCAGGAGAACCTGTTAATCGTTAATGATGAATAGACAGTCGTATACTTACCGTCGTAGGGAAACGATGGATGACAGATCACTTTTTTTGGTATTTTGATATTTTGTATTAGAAGGATACGCATTATAGCATATGATAGGTAGATTTTTGGACATCCATCTATGTGATGAACTTTTATGTACATGTTGATTTTTTTTTTAATGAAAGAAAAAAAAAATTATTTGGAATCTTTAGTAGCTCTTTCTCTATGTTTGGATATATTTTAGATATGTTACTTGAAATGTTTTGAATTTTTCCGTCTGACATTCGTTCCCGCCTCACCTATGCAAGCTTACCAGGTCGGATTGTGACAATATGGGTTTCATCTCTAGGTAATTTTAACATTCCAAACGCATCCATGATGTTTTGCAAACATGCAACAATCAAGCACCATTTGAGCAATATCGCATCCTTAGTCAGTCATTTTCATCACATTCGATCGAATTGATCGCAAAAGGTGTTTTCTTTAGCATTTTCATCGCTCTGGATACATTGGCACAAATTGTTTGGTCAATTTAAGTAGTTTGGATTGCAATTCAGGCATTTAAGCTTATTTCACGCAAGGTCGCATCAATTGGTTGTCATTCTCATCGTGGTTTACAAATCACATATGGAGGTCAACACATAACAAAAATTTTTTTGGTCAAAAGCCATGCAAAATTTCATGCTATTGACTATGAAACTTGATAGTTAATTTAAATTTATTTTCCTTTTCTATGTTGTCGATAATCAACGATGGATATTTCACTAAATGGATGCTAGTAGTACTTTTCTCTATGGCATTGTCTCTTCGAAGCTGTTTATATGGAGCACTTTTCAGAGTATTTTTCCCAAAGGAATAACAAAGTCTACAAGCTTTGGAAAGTTAAAAATGAGTTGAAACAAAATCCTCCTGCTATGTTTAACAAACTCTATAAAGATCGTGCTAATATTAGCCTTTCAACTAGCATGATTGATCATTTTATCTCTCTGGTACTCTTTCTCTAGCACAGTAATCCTCACTATGTATACTAATGAATACTTCTTACTATGAATGATGCTTTCAATGATGATAAAATAGCATAATCAGTATTCAGTAAACATCTAGGGCATCCAAAATATTACTCTGCAATAAGTTTGCAAATAGCAAACAAAGTGTTTCTCTCAACTTATATTAAGGGAAATATGCGATAGATCTTGAAGAAACTAATCTTCTAGGGTGCAAAGTCAGAGCTCACTTTTCTTTCGTGCAAAATAATGTGGATTGATTTCTTGTGAAAGCTTCAGCTTCGTTAAAACACAACTATAATCCATAACTGACATAACTAAGGCACCAATCTACATTGCAAGCAAAATAACCAAACATATTGAAAATAAATTGTCACAACATCCGAGATGCAGTCCTATCCAGAGTGATCATCATACTACACATCTCTAGTAAAGTATGGTTAGCTAGTTTCTTTGCTAAGGTAAAGAGATCATTTTTTTTTTCTAATCTTTTGTAATAAGTTGGAACTTATTGATGCATATGCTTCAGTTTAAGAGAGAGCGTGATTGTAAAAGTAGTACTAAATTGGCAAGATAATTTATTATTGTAATTAATACTCATAATTTAGAATACTCTTCTTATTATCTTCTTTCTACATTCTTCGCATTTACTCACATATAGGCATTTGTATTCAATCAATGTGTAATAACAAAAAAGCTTCTCTAAAACAGATTTAGTGGTTTTTAGGTTGCTATATCGGCTAGTTGCCCATCAAACAAATTAAGCCACTCAGCAAGGAATGACTGATGATTATCTTATCCAAGTAAACATATGCATGTGCAATTATATTAATAAAATAAACAATGCTAAGAAATAGCAAGTCTTTTTAAGCGAATGTCTATCCAACAAAGTGCTTGCAGAATATCAATCACATGTTATCAAATCATGCTCTTATTAAGAAGCAATCAAAGGAGAAAGAAAACCTTTTGAGGATTAAAACGGCTCTCTTTGTGCTTTCCAGTGTCCACAACATATATGATATCATCAATAGTAATGCTCGTCTCTGCAATATCTGTGGAGACAATCACCTATGACAAAACAGAAAGAAAAAGGGAGAAACCATTAGACCATCACAAATTAATCATAGCCAGCAGCATCGCCATTCATTATTTATTGCACCCCAATAAAGTTGGAGGTGGTGCATTAATACTTTAACCGCACAAAGCAAACTCATAAAATAATGTTGCAGAAAATCCAGACACTACTACAATGTTGCAATAGTAATCAAATACAAATAGCACGATCTTCTGCTAATTAAGAATTTAAACCCCCAACCTCTCAAAATAATTACACAATAGTGAATGCACATTCAAATAAGGTTGTAGGCATTCCATATCAATTTCTTTGTTCCTTTTCCCATACGTTTACCTCAATCTTTAAAGGGAACATGTACAACATGATTATATTATAAAAATTCATACATATATCACATCAAAATAATGCATAGAAAGCGATGAACTCAACCTAAAACAAGGCATCCGATAGATCATCATAAATCCAGCTAAATGCATGGATTGAAATCTTTCTGGACAAAGCCCAATCAGAAATAAGGACCTACGTATGATCCAAACATATAAAATCTACAGGTTAGTATTAGCCAGTTAAGTCCTTGTCAATTTGTTCACATTAGATCAAGTTTTTTAGCTTCTCTTACGCTCAAACTAACAAGTAATAGGAATAAGTGTTAGGCCAGGAAAGGCCAATTCAATGCTTCAAGCCAATAACCATAGTCCAAATTTCAGCTGTTTGTCTGTAAGGTTGATCATTCTGGCATATTCCTTCATTTTCAAATCATCTGCAAATTAATGACCTATTCTTAAAGTTGAATATATCCTAGTAAACTATATAAATTTGAACTCAAGACTTGAACAAGAGGTAGTAAACGTATCCCAACAAGTATGTAATTGAATTATTTTATAGAGAAAAAAATGGAAACTACATTTTATGAAAATATATCCTTCACAACAAAGCTTCATCTGATACTATTGTGTTAGAACTATTAGTGAACCAATACATTCGAATTCCCTTTGATTATTACTTGTTCAAGTTGATAAGGTCAGCACTTAAACGAGTTTAAACGTTTTTTAAACCTCAAAGGCTAACTGAAACAAGCTTCACTATAGACCAATTCATTGATTTATATACACGAACTAGCTTATTTATTGTTCAACTAGTAAATTTTCAAAGTCTTGATAGTAAGCTTGATGATATCTCACATATTATTTAATTAAAATTTGGCTAAAGATAATTTGTTTAATTACTTATTTAATAATCATATATTCAATTTTAACATCAACAATAGCTTAGAATTAATTCTCAATCACATATTCATTTTATTAATAAATGTTATTTATCATATCTTAATTATATAATAATAATTATTATTATTATTATTATTATTATTATATTAAATATTTCAAATGCATATTTTTAAAATTTTCTTAATTAATGCAAATATTGTTTTAGAATGTTGAAGTATTTGATATCATTAAGATTTTATTTCAAGACTTTAGTGATATTTTTTATGATTTTTAATCAACTAAATTAGATGTCAATCCCTATTAATAATTTGTTATTAGTGAATACACATATTGTTTATTATCAATCTAAGAATTTATCTTTATTTTTGTCAAATTAATTAATCTTTTATTTGTTAGTTTAAAAACTAACTAAATGCAATCATTTTCTTATTTCTTTAATTAAATGAACAAACTTATTGGTAATTATCTATGTTATATAATTGCAAGAAAACTTGCATGCGAATTATTTCTTATCTTATTTAATCGTGTTAAAGTAGTTAAACATTAATTCCAAAATTATTAAATTTCTTTTTTTTGGGGGGTGGGGGGGGGGGAATTAGAGGGCATAGCCCATTTCATTTCATAAAAAGCTAGTTACATGTGAGAAAGAAAAAACCTGTAAGTAAAGAAAAGAAAAATAGCTTCAAGATGGAAGAACAGCAAAATACAGGAATAGAAAAAAGTAACACATGGTGGTAAAGATCAAAATTGGGCTCAGGGTATTGCCATTGAAGGGACGAAGCCTCCTAGTTGCAGAAGAAGAGTCGAATGTAGTTCACTGAGCACACTAGGAAATACCACCCTTGCCATCCAAGGGGGGCAGAAGTGCAATAATGGCATCATCGCCCTCAAAAACCACCAGAAGGACTTGAGGCAACCAGAATTTAGCATAGAATACCAAAACGCCTGTTAAGATCATCAAAGTGCTTCCAGTATTTCACTTTAGCAAAGATAGCCTGACGGGTAATAGAAATGAGCTTAGAGGGGCTTTTCCAAACATTATCAAATCTTCTAGAGTTTCTTTCCCTCCATAAAAAGTAAATAGAGCTGCAAATAGTAAAATAGCATAAATCTTTCTCCCAACTACAGAAATCCTGTGAATCACCAACAAACTCAAAAGTCTGCATCAGGTTCGGTCTTAATAGAAATACTCCCAGAGGTGGCAGAAGAGAAACAATGACAGAATAAGTAAAATCACGGGCAAAAAACAAATGAGAATGACTGTCACAGCCACCAGTACAAAAAGAGCAAGCAGAGAGAACATCAATCCCTCTCATAATAAGTAGATCAGCAATTTTTAATTTGCCCAGCAATGCCATCCAGGCATAAGAAGAAAACCGGAGAGATTTCTTTTTATGCCAAATAAACTTGTGCCAAAAAACTTCTTCAAAAAGAATAAAATAGCTGGCATAAAAGGTAGAGAAACTAGGTGTAAGAGAGCCATCCCAGGACACTGCAGGTTGCTCACAAAAGTTAATACCCAGAATTTTAGTAAGCAGCAGATTTGGGGTAGAGGGAGGCAGAGCCCAGCCATTGTTAACAATATAACAATTCACAAAAGCCTTCACAAATTTAAAAGAAGGCAGAATTTCGTTAAGAGACTTTCCTTTGCACCAATGATCCCACTCCATAGAGAAATGACAGTTATAAGAAACAGATAAAGCAAAGTTTCCTTTAACCAAATGAGCAGTGGCATTAATCCTCTTCCAGAATTTCGAAGCTATAGAATTAAGCGGCTTCCAAGGTGATATGTATTTGTTTCTAAACCAAGCCATAGCCAAATTATCTCTAGTAAAGAACCTCCACAAGAAAGAACAGTAATTGGCATGATACAAAGCATCAATGGAGGGAATACCAAGCCCACCCAACCTGATAGGCAAGGCAGTTTTACCCCACGCAATTAAATGAAGTTTTTTCTCATTAATCCTGCCATGAAATAAAAACCTGGAGCAAAGCTTTGAGATAAATTTACAGCATAATTTGGGTATAATGGAGCCCCTTATCCAATAAGTAAGAGTGTTAGCTATAGTGAACTTAATGAATTGAACTCTACCTGCAAAAGAAAGAAATTTTACTTTCCACCATCCAGTAGAGTAAAAATTTTACTCGCGAGAGGTTGGAAGTGAGTAGAATTGAGGCGGCAGGTAGCAATGGGTATCCCGAGATAATTGAGGAAGGAACTCTGATTGGAGATGCCCAGGTGTTCACAAATAGAAACTTTATCAGAGACGTCATTAGAGAAAATAATTGAGCTCTTTGAAGGGTTAATGAAAAGGCCCTAAGCATTGGAAAAAGTAGATATAGCACAGGCAAGGGAAGCAGCATTAGAAGGCAAAGCATTACCAAAAACTAAAACATCTTCCGCATATAGAAGATGAGAAACAGTGAGACCTTTCATCTGAGGACCAAGAAAAGGGGGATTAACATTCTCCAAGGTATAGGAAAAACCGTCCATAGCAATGCAGAAAAGTAGAGATAACGGATAACCCTGCCTTAAGGCATAGGAGGAGCTGAAAAAACCATTCAAAGAGCCATTGATGCAGATGGAGAAGAAAACATTAGAAATACAACCCTTAACCCATTTAATAAACTTCTCCGGGAAACCTTTCTGTTTAAGCCTCTGATAAAGAAAATCATGGGAGACAGAGTCAAAGGCTTTGAGAATATCCAATTTAGCATAGAAACAATTGTTAAAACCTTTGAGAATTTCATAAGCTAAGAGGATATTGTAAGTGGAGCAACGATCCTTAATAAAACCTGTTTGACTATCATGTATGATGATAGGGAGCACAACTCTTAATCTGTTAGCCACCAGCTTAGCCACAATTTTATACAAAATGTTACACAAAGAAATAGGCCTGAAATCCGAAATTGAAGAAACATGAGCCCCTTTAGGAATTAAAGCCAAAGCCGTGGCTTTAACACTCCTAGGTAAGTAACCAGTATAATAGAAGTCCATAACAGCTTTACAAATATGGGGGCTATTAATATGCCAAGATCTCTTATAAAAGGCAAAAGAGAACCCATCCGGGCCCGGGGCAGAGGAATCACACCCACCAAAGACAACCTTTTTGATCTCTTCATAAGTAAAAGGGGTAATCAAGGGAGTGATCAGGTTTTGAGGAATACAATTGCCTTGATTAATGGAAAAATTCGTGGCATTAATGGGTTTAGGAGCATTGAAGAGATTTTTAAAGTGGTTTATGAAGGCAGAAGCAATATCTTGAGGAGAAGAATGAGACCCATTGCCATCAAAAATTTCATGTAAGTTGTTATGATTCCTCCTAGCATGAATTTTGGCATACAGGAAACCCAAATCATCTTCACCTTGAGACAACCATTTAGCTTTGGCACGTTGGGATACCCAAGAAGCCCAAGAAGCTTGAAGACAAGCAAGGCTGCTGTTAATCTCTTTCAAGGAAGTGTTTAAATTGGTGTCCAAAGGCATGTTTTGAATGTTCTCTAAGCAAATCTGTTGTTTGTTCTTGAGTTCCAGGATAGAGTTGGAGAGGTGGTTGGAAGAAGCCCAAACCCTCTTCTTCAAAGCACCTTTGAGACTTTGTAAGCATTGATGAAGGTAGCAAATGGGGCTCTTATGGGAAGGCTGAGAGAAAGATGTGAGGACATCATCTCAAAAATTGTCCATATGGGTCCAATAGTTTTTAAATAAAAAACGGTTAGGGAGCTTGTTGGTGGAGGAGATGGTGGTAATGAGAGGTGAGTGGTCAGAACACATAGGCGGGGCGACCTTGTAGTGGGCAAGGGGGAAATGATCAAGGAAGAAAGAGTTGACTAAAACTCTATCTAACTTGATATGAATTGGCTGATCAATTCTCTGATTATGCCACGTGAAAAACAGACCAACAGATGCAAGATCATGGAGCCCGCAGTCAAAAATGACTCCATTAAGCTCAATAAGCTTACTAGCAGGCACAGCAGAACCCCCAGCCTTCTCAGTATGATACCTGAAGCAATTGAGGTCCCCCATCACCATCCAAGGGGTAAGGGAAGAGGGAACCAATTCCCTAATCTTGTTCCAAAGGGAAGACCTTTCATCATAACTGTTAGCAGCATAAATAACCGAAATCTAAAAAGAAGGTAAATAGCCCATAGAGATAATACCATGAATAAGTTGAGAAGAGAGGAAAGTCGGAGAAAAAGAGACAAAGACTGGGTCCCATTTAATCCAAATCCACCCCAAAGGGGAGCAACCAAAGTTATGACAATGCAACTCATTGTCAAAAACTCTATGAGAATTAAGGAACCAATCATCATCAATAGAGGAGGAAAGCACCTTAGCTTCCAAAAGACATAAAAACTTCAGGTTATGAACCCGAACTAAATCTCTGCACATCATCACTTTGTCGGGTCTATTAAACCCCCTTATGTTCCAACAGGCTATATTGGGATAGGACATTAGGATTTTGAATTTGAAGGTTTGACTTTTTTGATGGTTTTCCCTCTAGTATGCTTAGAGAGGGGAAGATTGGGGGTTAGAGTTGGGAGGAAGGTGTGGAGATTTGGAGGAGCTAGTAGGGTTAGGGATATTAATGATAGGGTCCTCATCAACCGGAGGGTTGGAATCAGCAAAAGCGGGGGGATCATCCACAAGAAGAGCTTTGAACTTATTGGAGGTGCTAAGCTTCAAAGGAGCTGAAGCAATGAGAATATTTGGAAAAGAAGAGCCATCAGAGGATAAAGAGAAGCCTCTTCGTTAGGGGAGTTTAGGTTTGGGATGTTTGTGGTCTTTTCAGGAATCAAAATGGGAGGGCAAGGAGAGCTGCTAGAAGCAACAATAACCTGGGTGTCAGCAGCTGGAGGAAGAACAAGGTCGATATCGGTGTACTGAGGGGGTTCGTCCAGAGGAAGAATAGTGACATTTGTGGGATTTTGAGGAACAACAGGTTTAGAGGGGGGTTTTGATGAGTTCCTGGAGTTTGGACGAGGCGAGCGGCTAGAAGTTCTACCACGAGGCAGTGGGGGCAGAATAGCAGGAATTGTGGGATTCGGGTTTTTAGGACAGAGGGTGAATGGATGAACAAGAGAACGGAAACCTTCACAAAGGGTCGGCTTCCAATCATACACCACCTTAAGAGTCAAATCTTCACCATCAATTTCCAACAGGATCTCCTCCGGGAGGGGTGAGTCTTTTGAAATTTGAACACAAACACACGCAAAAGTAAGGTGAGAGCGCTTAGCAGTTAAGGAATCAACAGACAATGGAATACCAATATAGCTAGCTATCTTAGATATGCCAGTAGGGGTCCAAAGCGCCAAAGGAAAGTCCACAATCTTAATCCAGATTGGGATGGAGGCATTCTCATCCCGTTTAGGTTTAAATTTGGAAGACCATTTTTGTAAAATGAATGGTTTCCCAAGTAAAAACCAAGGTCCACCCGACCAAACAGCATCATAATCTTCTTGCGACGTAAATTTGATGAGAAAAAATCCATCCGCAAGAGATAGCAGAGAGATCGCACCTTTTAAAGGCCAAACCTTTTTCATAGCAGCGAGAAGACACTCGTAGTAAGGGCGCTGTCCCATCGAATAGCCGACCAGAGAAAACGACCAGAGCGAAGAACCTTCAGAAAGATCTCCAGCACCAAAAGACAGCTTGGGTTTTGGTGGATAGAAAGCCATCGGGAATGGCTCCGCGATGGAGGAGGGGGAAACGGTGGTTTCGGCATAGGAAAGACCAAGAATGGGAGAGGGCGAAGGGCCAGGAAGGTTGGGAAAATTCTTCAAATCAAGAGCCATCTGAAGGGGGGAGAGGAAGGAACTCTCACGGCGTGAGGAGCGCGCCGAGAATGGAACTAGGGTTTCGCCAGAGCTAAGCGCGGAGCTCTAGAGAAAAATATTAGTCTGTTAAATTTCTTGCTCATTTAGATTTGAAACAATATTTGTTAATATGAGAAGTCGAGTACACATTAAAAATTTTAGCATGTATATTAGCTTATTTAAGCACTCATTTGATTAATTTAGGCAAGTATAACAACAATAAAAAGCCTTTATCCCACTACTTGGGGTTAGTTATATGAATCATTTTTTCTCTATTGTGTCCAATTAAGAGTCCAATTCTCATTTAAATTTAATAAAAAAAAGTTCATTTTTAGTATTTTCTAAGCTAAGTCTTTTTAAGTCTTTGTCTACCTTCCTGACCAAAAGCTAGATCTAATAAATTTACTCTCCTAACATGGTCATTGGAAAGCCAACGTTTTATATGACCAAACCATCTAAGCTGACTCTCGCTAATTTTTATCTGCCACTCGATCTATTCCAATCATTACACAAATTTTCCATTTCGCATTTTGTCTCTAAGTGTAAAACCACTCATCCACCTGAGCATCCTCATCTCGATAACACTTGACTTAATTTTATGCTTCTCTTTTAATGACCAACATTCTGCACCATAAAGCATTTTAGGTCCCACCACAATCTTATAAAATTTTTCCTTAAATATGAGGAATATCTTTCTATCACATAACAGGTCCAATGCATTCCTCCAGTTCAACAATCAACTTGAATTCTACTAACAATATCCCCATCTATTTTACCATCGCTTTGAATAATAGACCCAAGATATCTAAAACATGAACTCTTTTTAATGCCTTGATCACCCAATATTAAAATCTTATCACTAGATTTATTACTACTAAAATTACACTTCATATATTCAATTTTAGATCTACTCGAACAAAAACCTTTAGACTTTAAGGTTGATATCCATAATTTAAATTTTTCATCAAATATCAACTACCTCTCTAGTCTTATCAACAAGAAGAATATCATCTGCAAAAAGCATACACCAGGGTACATCCTCTTGCAAATGTCTAATAAGAACATCAATGACTAAAGCAAAAAAGATATTAGCTTAAAGTTCTTAAAGTTGGTCCTTGATGTAATCCAACTGAAATAGAAAAACAATTGGTCAAATCACCTCGTGTTGAACACAGGTAACAACTATTGTATGCATATCCTTAATGGCTTAAATATAAGCATTATTAACTCTTTCCTCTTCTAGAACTCTCTAAGGCACTTCTATTAGAACTTTATCATATACTTTCTCTAAGTCAATAATGAAAGTTTTAAACAAGCCAAGTATTAACATATATATGAAAACTAAGCTTGAGCTTAAACCAAACAAGAACTTGTAGTATGATAAAGCCAAGTCCAATCCATGTACTCATCTCCTTTTAAGCCCTATACTGTGTTAAATATGTGCTATTTTGTAATTGCTGCTGTCACAAAGAAAAATGTGTTGGACTACAAGTGCACTGCCCAGGATCATAAAGCCATAAAAGAAGTGTAAATGCGCTATACAGCTTTCTATTGCATGTGTAGCATGCCATCAAAATTGTGATAAGCCAGTTTTGGAAAGCAACACAAAAGAAAAGCATTCCGAATAGAAGACAAAATGTTAAGATTTTTTTTATTCTGTACCTCGCTTCATCCACACTGCTTAAATTAGTTCGTTCCATGAGAAATTCAATATTGAATATAACACCTTATAATTACTTGCAGCATCCTGGGAAGCAACAACGATTTTCCATAAATGGATCAATAGAAAGATGGTTTCATATAATTTTCATGTTTTTGTAACAATTCTATACAACAAAAATAACTGGTGCTAACAATGAAAGAATGCAACAAATTCCCATAGTATTGCTCGATCTAAACTAGTTATATCGCTAGCATCATATGTGCAACCTTAACTCTCTAAACGCAAGCACAAAATAAAGAAGACAATGAAAAGCTATCCCTGATCTAGTATTTCATTAAAGAATTTATTTGCACGTAGAAGCTCAAAAAAAAAAAAAGCATGCATTGGTACTGTAAAGCAAATCCAAGGAAGACAAACCTTGCGTATTTTTTCAGGTGGGGGCGAAAACACTTTGTGTTGGTCTATTGAAGCTAAAGATGAATGCAATGGAAGCAACCAATCAGATGATGCTCCACGAAATTGAAAACTAGAAGCTAATTTGTCAACAAGAAGTTCAATTTCTGCTACTCCCTGGATCGAAGATTATGTTAAAACATATTATGATAAGTTAGATTCTTGTCAACGTGAGCAGAGAAAGCAAAAATATCATCAAAATCAAACCAAATATTACAAAACGAGAAGAAAACATAACAAAGAAGATATGTAAAGGGAAAAAGGATATAATAGAGGCAAATTAATAGAGCATACAGGTAGAAAGACAAGAATGGCTCCTGGTGGGCATGTTACATCAATATGGCATATTAATTCTTCCAGAAGATCAAAATCGATCACATCTTCATTCAGGCTTTTCTGCAGAATCAGGTGAAATTGGTTTGGTATAATTATACAAGAGGTAATTGCAACCAAAGATCCACAATCTGGAATGTTCAAACTTACGAGACTCTGCTGTGTCCTCTCACAGTATGATTGATAGTGCTCGGGAAAATAGTAGGGATTGACGTAGCCTTCATAAAGCAAGGATTCATCGCCCCAAGAAGACATGACAAGATTCTTCTTTCCCCTATGGTTATCCATAAAACTTTTCCCCAGCTTCAGTGAAAATATTAGATTAGTGGCTACTACCATATGGAGACAAAATTAGCAACATCTAGCTGAAATTATTTTGAATAATTCTAAAAAAAATGTAAATGATATGAGGCTGCTCTTGTAATTATAAGGGAAAGAATATGCAAAGAAAACTTTAAACCAGCATGTCATATAAGCATAAAATGGCCTAATAGCGGGTCTTATAAATTAGCCCTATAGCTTAAACTGTCCGAGAGATTTGGTTGGATAGGCCTTATGACTTCCTTAGAAGTTGTAAGATGATGGGTCTTACGACCTAGCCATGTAAACTAAGTGGCCGTATGGTGGTTCTTATAACCTAGTCCTACAGATTATGATACCCATGTTAGGGGTCTAGGGTCATGTTATTACCTAAACATTTCCCTCAGAAGTCAGACTTACAGTTTCTATTAGAAGTTGTCGGTGTGTTAACCAATGATTAGGGGTTATATCATTTTTGCCTAAAGATTTTCTCTAAAGTCGGACTTACGTCTTTCATTGAAAGATGTCGGGTTTAGAGGTTTAGGTTCAGGATTTTGACACCAACTTCAGTGTCTTGTTGTTTTGTGCCTGTAGCTTTTTCTTTTTTGTCCTACTACAGTAACTTGTCACTCTACTTTTAGCACTATTCTTTGCTATTTATCTATTTTTAGCACTTTGTTCTACTTGCAGTAGCTAGCATTACTATTTTTAGTACAACAACAACAACAACAATATCAAGCCTTTATCCCACTACGTGGGGTCGGCTACATGAATCTTTTTTCTCCATTGTGTCCTATTAAAAGTCAAATTCTCGTTTAAATCTAATAAAGAAAGGTCATTCCTAATATTTTCTAACCAAGTCTTTTTAGGTCTACCCCTACCTTTCTTAACATAAGTCAAATCTAATACCTCTACTCTCCTAAACGGGTCATCGGAAGGCCGTAGTTTTATGTGACCAAACCATCTAAGGCGACTCTCTCTAATCTTATCTTCTACTGGAGCTACTCCAACCTTTTCGCGTATATGCTCATTTCGTATCCTATCTCTAAGGGTAAAGCCACTCATCCACCTGAGCATCCTCATCTCTGCCACACATACCTTAGTATTATGCTTCTCTTTTAATGGCCAACATTCGGCACCATAAAGCATTGCAGGCCTCACTACCATCTTATAGAATTTTCCCTTAAGTTTGAGGGGTACATTTCTATCACATAACAAGCCCAATGCATTCCTCCACTTCAACCATCCAACTTGAATTCTGCTGATAATATCCCCATCTATTTCACCATCACTCTGAACAATAGATCCAAGATATCAAAAACGTGTACTCTTATTAATGACTTGATCGCCCAAAGTCACAATCCCCTCACTAGGTCTATTACTACTAAAATTACACTCCATATATTCTGTTTTAGATCTACTCAAGCGAAAACCTTTAGACTCTAAGGTTGACCTCCATAAGTAACTGCGGTTGAGGTTGTTTTTTTAGTATTAATTTTATTTATAATGTGCTGACTCTTGTCTGCTCGTTTATAGGTGCTCATAGCCAGCAATTTAGAGAGCTTTCAAGTAGCTACGGTTATGTTTCAGCCGAGAGATGTTTGTTTGTTGGAGAGTTTTTATAATGCCCCAACTTTTTGTCAAAGGAAAACAAAAATCATTCTCTATTTTTCTCACATATAGGAAAACTGTCAAATTACTTTCATTAACTTTTAATTTTAAATTTGTATTCATTAAAAGGCACATTAACATTTAAATATAATTGCTGTTTATTTTTAGCAGGTCCTTATAAGTATTAGCTGAACTAGTAATTAATTAGCATTGAAGTATGTCTTATTTAATTTTTACAGCAAATAATCCATTTTCATGTACGGTATTTTAGCATATCCATTAAGCAAAGTATGCAGTCGGCTAATCAGATCATGCGGTTGGGATATGTTTTGGGAAAGCATAGTGGAATTAGGAATATAGTTTTATAAAACATAGTGGAATTGCCTCCTTTCACTGGAGCCTTTTTCCCCTCCAATCCACGATGCCCTTTTTGCCTTTGAAATAACCCCTGCTGTCGGTGAGCGGGAGGCGAATAGAAGAGGTTTTTTTTAAAAGCTGCTATTTGCTGAAGCTGAAAGCAAAGGTAAGGAAATTCTTTGCTTACAATTAGGATTTCTGAATTTGGGTATTAGGAATTTCAGAGGTATAGTGTGTATGTGTTTGCTGAAATTTTTGTTATGTTGCTAAATGCTGAATTGTTGAGGTTAAATGCTAAATTTAGGAAACAGTGAAGAAAAATTAGGTCAATGACTGCTATAGTTGCTGTTGGGCTGCTTTGTGTGACTGATTTATGAGAAATAAAAGAGAATAATGAGGATAATGAAAATTGCTGCTATAGTTGCTGAAATCGGTATATACAGTTGCTAAAAAAAAGAGTGCTGAATGTGTATGCTGCGTTAGTAGGAAAATAAGAAAGAAAAGAAAAGATTGTGGGTTGAATGAGGAAGAGTACGTTTGAAGTTGTATACAAAAGAAGAAAAAAAGATTTAGAAGAATGAGTTCCAAGTGATGTGAGATACCCTATCGATTCATAAGAAATATTTCAAATTTCATATATTTGTGAATTGATAGCTGTCATATTTATGATAGCATGCCTCTCATATGATAACATGTATGTCCATTTATTTCAATTTATTTGTTGTAGTTCATTCCAGATATATAGATTGTTGATTCACTAGAAACTAGTGATTGTGATTATATTAAAAATGAATGAAAGTACAAAAGCAAGTGACTTAAGTCTTATATGGGGGGCAAGCCTGTACAAATAAAGGCAAAAGATCTGACAAGGGAAGCATATACCCTCCATTCTAAAAGTTGAGAATCTGGACCTAACCTTGAATGAGAGAGCAACTTCAATTCTAAAAGTTGAGAATATGGACCGAACCTTGAATTGAAAAAATGAAATGGTGCAAAAACTTATAGCCATCATATGACTTGTTTTAAAGTGTGGAACAGATAGCAATATGAAAAATAATGTTATGTATTTCTTACGATCATTATGAAATTCAATATGTTTTATCCATGTTATTATTAATGTTATGAAATTCTTAGTTGTTAAACAATGTTATTATTATTTCTTATATATTGTTTGTTTATTTCATTGAGCCATAACTTATTAGCAGTGGTTGTACTGCAGGAAAAAGGAAGGAGCCCGTAGGGCATTAAGGGGGTGACTATCTTTCTTTTGATGTACATAGATTTTGGGTGAGCTTAGAGGTTCAAGAGGAAGCTGTACAAAGACTTTTGAGTATGTAAGTAAATTTTAGTAAAGATTTTAGTAAAGCTCTGTATTTTATTTGAGATGTACATTTTATGATATATGCTTCCTATTATGAAAACTTTAATGTATTATAATTGGTGATGAGAGGATAGTTTGAATAGCCTACTTTTTACTTATCTAATTCTGTGATCAATGTTTTGGGGAAGAGGGGGGTAAAATGGAGTGTGACAGTTTTGTTGTTTGTGAGAGCTGTTGTTACTTGTTTAAGAGTCGTTATTAGTTTGTACTTAGGCTGGATTATTGGAAATATTTTATTTCCGCATTTTCTGTTTTATGTTTCTTTCATGTTTGATTTTATTTAAATTAAATTGTGTTAATTAATAAAGTCAATAATTAAGAGTTAAACTTAATTAAAAATTTTAATTTGCTCAGTTTGTTAATTTTAAATGATGAAGGTATTTTAAAATCATTCCATTGATTATTTCAATTTAATTATTAATTAATAATTAATATAGTTGATTAATTAAAAGATTTAAACCTCAAGTTAAAGTTAAATTTTAACTTAAGATTTTGATTTCATTAAATCTTTTATTAATTGATTCATTTTATAAATTCAAATTTTATTTTGAAGTTAAATTTCTCTTAATAATTTTATTTAAGTTAAAAATTTAAATTCAATTGATTTTGTTAATTAAATGACTTTAAATTAATTAGTTCAATTAATTAAAAGATTTTCATTTTAGATTAAAGTTTGACTAAGAAGATTTTAATTTTTTAAAATTTTAAGTTCTAATTTTATTATATGATATTTAATTTCATGATTT